TTATTTTAATCATGTAAAGGTTGGGCAAAATTGGCTTCTTTTATAAGCTGTTTGTGCTGTTGTTAATGTTTACCAACACAGTGTCATGATTCTGATGCAATTAAGTCATTATTCTGCTAAGCCAAATATTGATTCAACATTGTCCAGAGAGCGTAAGCTACACAGCAACAGCAAAATTCAGTGTTCGAGAGATTTCTCTAAATCGATTAGATAATTAGTTTTAAAGAAGAGGACAAAGATGTCAACAGTATGATCACAGTATCTATTTGAAGCACATGTTTTTCTGATTACTGAGTCAGAGGCGGGGGGACGTTCATAATTTCACATCATGAAAGTTCAAGATGCTATGTAATTATGAGACATTAAATAGCTCTAAGCCAGCAAAACCCTGTTCCGTGATGTTCAAATGCTGCAGGTTGAACAGGCGTTCATACACATCTGCAGGAAGGAGTATTTCAGAACCATCCTCTTTTGAACAAAATCAGGGGTTAAGGAATTAATTTGAAGTCAACTGTTAGTAAAAACATGGAAGTGGTCACAACACACATGAATCTAGGCTTTAGCTCCACGGAACTATATGGGGTTGCTCGGAAAGTTGATTTTGATGCACAAAGCACCTTGGAAGCAACTGCCCATATGTGTGTGCATTGCTAACATATAGCAACCGAGGTAATGTAGCCATAATTCAACTCTTTATCAGCATAATGTATATCATAATGTAGTAGTAGGATGTACTTCTGCGAACGTCATTTCACAGCTACTGCACACAAAAAATCAGAGACATGGAGATTTGTTGGCTTTCCATATTCTCCCCAGGAATAATCAAGTCATAGCTTCCTATGTATATAATGAACCCATGTATAATACATTGTGTAAAAATAAATTATGACTGAAGAAACAGATACTTTTCTAAAAGTTATGGTCATATGGCAGTATTTTATCCCTAACAATATCCACCACCCTTCTCCATTCTAAACAGAAAAAAAAAGCTTTTAAAATCTCTTGACATGTTTAATTGCACTTTTATTATTGTTTTTCTGTTTTAAAATACACGTTAGATTGTTATTTAGTGTTTTCTCATTAAAAATGTAAATCTCCTAGTGGAATGCAAAATTAGCGTACACTAATCGATTATCAGAAACAAATCAGTTTACCAACATGAAATTTTCTGAAAAGCTTTCTTAGGAATATTAAAATACAAAATATAGCAAAATAGTAATACATTGTGGAAATGGAGGTTGATGTACACATAGTTATTTAGTAGCAGTATTTTTCGCAATGAAGCACTGGCAAATTTCTGCCAATTACTTGATTACCGTATTTTTTGTATTTTAATATTCCTAAGAAAGCTTTTCAGAAAATTTCATGTTGGTAAACTGATTTGTTTCTGATAATCGATTAGTGTA